TTTCAGCATTGTTTAAAACAGGGAAAACCACATATCTAAATATTAAATATCTAATAGGTTTTGATTTTAAATCATAAAGTGAAATTTTATCAGCCATATACATACACACATACATTGGAAAGATGGTCACATGGTGTTAAGCTGGTGTGGGATGGGAGTAGGAAACTAAATTGCAGGTTTACGATACAACTTTCATTGTAAAATATGCTCATACTGTGCAAACATCCATGAATATCTTTCCCTATCTGAATTTATTTGGTTCACTAAAATCAGATAGTGAAAGCTTGGTTAGTGAGTTCAGATAACAGGAGATAATTGTTATCCAAATATATTTGTAGTGAGTTGTGAGAATCTGGTTAGTAAAAGAGACACCAATATTATCCCCAAAACTTTATCTAAACCTATTCTTCAGTTGTAATAGCAAGAGCGAGGAATACCTGTTTGCATAGGAAAAGTGCAGAAGGTCAAATTTAAGTGGTTAACACCCACTGAATATGAGATTTCAAGGGTTTTTTTGGAGTTTTGTTTCGTTTTGTTTTGAGACAGAGTCCCGTTCTGTCACCCAGGCTGGAGAGCAGTGGCATCATAGCTCACCGCAACCTCAAACTCCCGGGATCAAGTCATCCTACTGCCTCAGCCTCCCGAGTAGCTGGTTCTACAGGCATGCACCACCACACCCAGCTAACTTTTTTTTATTTTTTGTAGAGACAGGGTCTTCCCATGTTGCTCAGGCTGGTCTCAAGCGATCCTCCTGCCACAGCCTACCAGAGTGCTAGGATTACAGGCATGAGCCACCTCTGAGATTTCAAGGTTTTTAATCTATTTTCTAATGTTTGCACAATGAACATGTATGTAGACTTTCAACTACTAGTTGTTTCAATAGGAACTTCTGTGTGTCCTTCTCAGGATATCACAGTTGATATCCTGAAAAAGTACAGGACTACACAAACTGTTAGAATTTGGACATATTTATGTTTGGGAAATAAGTCAGGCAAAATGTTCAAAGTGGAAACGGTTTCGCTGCTAACGTGGGGACAGGGCCTTGCTAAGGACATCTCAGGAGTTAGAAGTAGGTGAGGAGAATCAACGTTAAATGACGTGAAGTATATATGATGTAATTAATACACATGAGAGGGGGCAGTGTTGGTGAAGGATCGAAACAAGAGAATCAAACACTTCTTTTGGTCCAAGCAAACAAGTTTAAACTGGCTTTTCTTTCAGTACTTCTGGATTACAAGGTAACATGGGGATAACCCATAAGGGTGAAATTCACCAGATTCACTCACCAGGTGTTGCCCCCGTGAAACCCCCTGCTACTCACTGTTTTGTTTTGGCAATAACTGGTGCAAAGTATCTAATGAAAAATGGAGCCTCACGTCTCAGGACTTCACACTCTCTGACATGAACTTAGGGTTGGAGGAGGACAAACACTTGAAGAAATTCATCCACCTTTGTGGCTATGTCCTTCCTTTCTCATGTTGGGTATGCATTGAATGACAATTGTGTGAAAAAGCCTGAGCAAAACTAGGCAGGTTTTGAGGTATTTTAATATTATTGTTCTGGACAATTCGTTCCGTAAAGACCTAAAACTGATATCTTGTCTGTGCCCCATGATTAGCACATATCTTACCTCATGTGGATTTCTTTTGTATGCATGTGTCATTTTTGCTGCTGTTCCCATCTAAATGGCACACACTTTGAGACCAAATGGATGGTTCTCAAATGTTGTGAGCATCACAGTTGCCTAGAGAGCCTGTTAAAACAGATTGCTGAGTTCCCAGAGTTTCTGCAACCTGGGGCTTTGCATTTCTAAGAAGTCCCCAGGTGATGCTGCTGGTGTGAGGACACACTTTGAGAACCAGTTGAATAACTTTATCGAATAGCACTTTAAAGGAAAAAGTACCTTCTATGCGAAAGGTGACAAATTAAGACAAATTTGTTTATGGTTCAGTTCAACCAGTGTACATTGTACCAGACAGTTTACAAGGTGCTAGGGACAAAAGTATGGGAGGTAAGTCCTTCTCACAAAGCCTAGTTTCACAGTCTACACTGAAAGATAAACATGGTACAAATGGTAACAATACAACCAGGAAAGTGACTGCAACACAAGTAGAGGACGTAGTAATTAAGATATCTGTAAACATTTGTCCCTCCCCAGTGAAGAGCAGTCTCGACTTGCAGCGAGAAAGTATGCCCGTATCGTGCAGAAGCTTGGGTTCCCTGCCAGATTCCTCGATTTTAAAATTCAGAACATGGTTGGAAGCTGTGATGTGAGATTCTCCATCAGGCTGGAGGGTTTGGTGCTAACCCACCAGCAGTTCAGTAGGTATGGTGGTTATGTAGCCTAACTTTGAGTTTACCAAGATATTCAAGTTACATGATGGGCCATTTATATGATGTATTTTCCAGGGAAAGTTGATTTTTTTTAAAAGGGGGTGGGACACTGTAGGCAAAAAGGTTAATATGCTACGCCTGAGTCCTCACAGGTGACCATATATGCTCAATCTTTTGAAACAGTGGTTCTCGAACTTAAGCTGTCTGGGTGATTATAATACAATTTATTAAAACACACCTTCCTGGCTGGGCTTCATTACCAGAGATTTTGCTTGAATTTGCAGTCTTAAAGCTCACAGGTGATGCCATTGCTGCTGGCCAGAGGCCTGAAGGGCGAGACCTGATCTGTAGACTTACAATATCGCACACATGGCTTGTGATGGCACTGGCAAGAAAAGGCGTGTGAGGTGGGTGAGGCCAGGAGGGAGGAGCTGACAGGTGGTGAGGGGAGAAAAGGCTGGAGAGAAGATGAAGAAAAATGGCTGTAGCACGTTCTGTGCAAGCAATCCTATCTAGTTTGCATCCTATCTTGTTTGACTGGGGTGAGGTTGTGTGTGTAGTTGTAGCCCCCGTCTCAGCATCATCCTACGTGTATTCATTCCTCTTCCTCAGGGACTATCTCCAGCCTGCCTTCCTTCAGACTTCCCATCTCAACAGCCACTGCGCCTCCCCCGCCCCAGCTGCTCTGGCGCTTCTCCCGTCCAGCGTCCAGCACAGGCCCTCGGAGTGCAGTGGTGGAGGTTGACTGATAAACACCAAATCCCTCTGCCTGCTAAGATACACACCTGGGTCAAAGCATTTGGCTTGGTTTAGGATCACAGATGCTCTTAAATTCTCTTGATCAAGCTTGAATTTAAGTGCTTTCATTCTAACATTTTTTACCCTCTTTGCAATCTAGCAGGCATCCTGTTTAATAGTGTAGATGGGGATCATATAACTGTGCTTCCCTGACATTTGTTGGCTTTTGGTTTAGATATGATCTGAACAGAAGTTAAAAATTGCTTTGTTTTTCTGAACACTTAAAAAAAAAATTCTGGTTCATTCTGAGATATAGCTTTTATGACATGAATTAGACAGTGTTTATTTTTCTGATGGTATTTGCTTCATCAGTTTTTTCAACATATTATCGAGTGCCTCTGAGAGACCCCATTTTTCTAAAATCTGAGCACACTGTGAAGTCTCCCTGCTATGTAAGGCATATTGCCTCTTAGGTATCTGTCTGTCTTCAATCTTGGGATAATTTGCAGATTCACAGTGAAACCTTCATTTTTAAGAGTCCCTCCATCTCATCTTAAGCCATCTCATCTTCCAGACTCAAGTCTCAGGCCTCCAGCCTATCTTCCTCCAAATCAACTTACTCTGAACATTTACAGTAGCTCTGCCTGAACTCCAACGCGCATGTTGATGTTAGACTTGGCATTCTCCGGTCTGGCCATTTAGGGCTCTAAAATGATGCGTGCAGTTTCTTCCGAGTTTCCCTTCATTTCTTACCAACAGCAGCTTCCTCGCAAAGGAGATTTAAGTCTAGAGTAGGAGTGCCCCTTGTTACTACTGCTACCTTCTGAAAGATAAATTTCCCGTAGAGCACAATGAGAATTCATCAGACGCACTGCTTTTAGCCACTTGAAGTGGGCCCATCCCTGTTGTATCTTCCTCCTGGGCCAGTTTTATGATCTCACCCATCTTTTTTTTTTTAATCTTGCCGGGATTAATTAATTGCAATTAATTAATTGCTTTGCATTCCCACGGCTGTCTATTTCTAGTCTCATTCTTGCTTCCCTACATACTCTCCATCCAGCCTTTACCCCCAGGTTGTGGGTTACAACTCCAATGTGTGTATTCTCAACACCGGGGGCATTAAAAACATCTCTTTCTCAGCAGGTTTGAATCTTTAACATGAGGACTCTCTAATTGCCTGTAGATCTGTGGGGAACTATAGCACACTTCACACTATTATAACTGTCAGGTCAAGTTTGCCTTGTGTTAAAACCTCAAGTTCATTTAATTCCCCAGGTTCTGTGAATTTGTATACCAACATCTAATGATACAAGTATCTCCTTTTGTTACTGGGCACCTTCTCCATCAATCTTTCTGTGCCATCATCTTTAGGTTTTTTGTTTGTTTGTTTGTTTTTTGAGACAGAGTCTCACTCTGTTGCCTGGGCTAGAGTGTCATGGTGTTAGCCTAGCTCACAGCAACCTCAAACTCCTGGGCTCAAGTGATCCTCCTGCCTCGGCCTCCCAAGTAGCTGGGACTACAGGCACGCGCCACCATGCCTGGCTAATTTTTTCTATATATATTTTTAGTTGTCCGGCTAATTTCTTTCTATTTTTAGTAGAGATGAGGTCTTGCTCTTGCTCAGGCTGATCTCGAACCCCTGAGCTCTAGGGATCCTCCCACCTCGGCCTCCCAGAGTGCTCGGATTACAGGCATGAGCCACCGCGTCCGGCCTCATCTTCAGTTTTCTATGTATATTTTTCCCCTCTTTGCTCCAATTTTTAATTCAAAGATATCCTGATAACAAATATTAAGTGAATAAAATCTAGGTGACCACCATGTAGCACAAGTGAAGGTGATGATAGCAAGCTATGTAACTGCAGTCCCTCGCCCGCATAAAGCTCGGTGTCTAAAAGGAAAAATTAGCCTTCAAGCAACAGCAACACGAGATGGCAGCCACCGCAGACTCTGGAGTAAAAGTCCCTCGCAATTTCCAACTGTGGGAAGGCCTTGAAGAAGGGCAGAAAGGAGAAGGAGATGGCACAGTTAGCTGGGGTCTAGAAGATGACAAAGACATGCTTACAAGATGGACAGGGATGATAATTGGGCCTGCAAGAACAATCTATGAAAACCGAATATTCAGCCTTAAAACAGAATGTGGACCTAAATACTCAGAAGCACCCACCTTTGTAAGATTTGTAACAAAAATTAATATGAATGGAGTTAATAGTTCTAATGGAGTGGTGGACCCAAGAGCCATATCAGTGCTAGCAAAATGGCAGAATTCATATAGTGGCAAAGTTGTCCTAATGATGTCTAAAGAAAATATGAAACTCCCTCAGCTGCCTGAAGGACAGTGTTACAGCAATTAACCATAAAAGAAAAACCACAGGCCCTTCCCCTTCCCCCCTAATTGATTTAAGCAGTCTTCATTTTCCACAGTAGTTAATTTTTTAGATACATCTTGTAGACCTCAAAGTACTGGAAAGGGGCCAGGCGTGGTGGCTCACGCCTGTAACCCTAGCACTCTTGGAGACCGAGGCGAGAGGATCACTCGAGGTCAGGAGTTCGAGACCAGCCTGAGCAAGAGCGAGACCCTGTGTCTAATAAAAATAGAAATTAGACAACTAAAATATATAGAAAAAATTAGCGAGGCATGGTGGCGCATGCCTGTAGTCCCAGCTACTCAGGAGGCTGAGGCAGAAGGATTGCTCGAGCCCAGGAGTTTGAGGTTGCTGTGAGCTAGGCTAATGCCACGGCACTCTAGCCCAGGCAACAGTGAGACTCTGTCTTTAAAAAAAAAAAAAAAAAAAAAGTACTGGAAAGGAAGCTCCTATTCAAAGGCAATTTGTCTTAAGATACTATAAATGATACTAATTTTTGTCCATCTGAAATAAGTTGTGCTATAACAAAACCAGATAGGTCCATGACAATAATGAAATATGATACCTGTGTAGTTAAAGCCTCTCAGGGGGTTATGGGACCATAAAACAGGGCACTTAATGTAACTGGGGGTGGGTGGAGGCCAAGGAGATCTCTCCCTGGGGGAAGTGACATTGAAGGTCGAAACTTGAAGAATGAGTTAAAGTTGTGTTGGTCAAGAAATCGGCATGTGTTTGATATTCTAAATCTCTATGAAATGTTCTCCATCCCTAACCAAAACCAGTCTTTTTCTCTGCTTTACCCTTCTTTTGGAATGAGGCAGAGAATAGATAAAATTAAATCTTTAATCAGGAATTCATTATGCAGGTAACTTTAAGACTTTGGTTCTGAAAGCCAAATTCAGTTCACCATTTACGTAGCAAAATTGTTTGTTTTCTCTCTTCCCTCTTGGAGCCCTAAGATTAGGCTGGAAGATCAAATGAAAATCTTCTTCTGCATCCCCAGCCCTCATTTTCTTGGCATGGACCTCATGGCTCCTGGTGGGTTTTTCTGGGTTCCAGCTTGTATCATGGTCTCCCCAGTGTGGGGAAGTGGGTGGAAGCCTTGATGGACATCCTGCAAGAAGGCAGAGTGTGATGTTCCAGAAAGACCAGTCCATTCATACTTAGAAGGGTAGCCATACCACGGGGATGTACCTTTCTGGTGCCAATGAGGTTTCACATCTGCCGTTATGGGTCTTGCTCATAACAAGAACTGAACGGAGCTTTTCCACGTGGTCTGGATTCAGCCTTTAAGCGCAAAGATTCATGTGTACTATAGTGTTCCATTTCTTGTACGTCTTTTTATATCTCTTGTCCATTAGCCGTTATTTTGAAAATAGTTTTATTTTATCAGCTTCCCCTGACCTCCTGACTTCTTTTTGGTAGGTTCCACAACCCTTCTAGAAATCTGTCCTCTTCTCTAGGCCAGAGTGTGGAGAAGCAGTTCTTAAGCTCCTTCATCCTTTGCTCCTTGGATAAACCAAGTCACAATTAGTAATAAATATGAATGAGTTACTATTTATAGGAACAAATCCTGAATTTTGAAAACTTAGGATGGTTAAACTTTCTGTTTATATAGCACCTGTCCAAAAACGAATAGCAGTGGTCTAAAAATTTTTGTAGGTTCTAGTTGCCAAATATGTTTAATTTTAGCAGTTTATAAATGCTTATAAAATGTATTATTGGTAAACTTGGAAAAATCCAGAAAAATATGGCTATGTACTCTTATTGACAGACTTTTTTGGAAAGATGGAGAACGTTTAACCAATAAGATCTTAATACATCTGATACCCTAAGTCACCTTAATTTCTAATAATCTAAGATGGCTTGCCCTTGAAAAAAAATTATGACCAAAAATTAATTCTGTACTTGATTGCCATAAGATATTACCTAGGAAACTCAAGACTCTTTCATCAAGATAACCAAAAGGTTTTTGGTAAAATAGCTAACCTACTTACAACTGCTCTAATATGCACTTTAATATACTGGGTCTTGAATGTTATGGAAAAGTAGTTGAATAGTGCTAGTGTTAACTTTTTCCTTTTATTTCTTAACAGTTATGAACCTGAACTGTTTCCTGGCCTTATTTATAGAATGGTAAAACCACGAATTGTGTTGCTTATCTTTGTATCTGGAAAAGTTGTGTTGACAGGTAAGTCCTGAGATTTCATGACTTTCATAGAATTCAATAGTTGTGCATGTACTTTGCTTTTCCTCTTAAATAGCTTTGTTCATTATTATAAAGTAATTCTTGCTATTATAGAATGCCTGGAAAAATGAAAAGTAGAAAAGAATATAACATCACCCCGTCCCAATACCTAAAATTACAGAAATATGAAAAAGTCATTGTTTTGATATGTATTTCATCTTTACATTGTGCTTTTGAAAAAATCATTAGAATATATACAGCTTAATTCATTGTTACAAACCCTTCATGAAAGCTTTTAATGGCTGCACAATGTTCTAACACAGCGTTCAGCAAACTTTTCAGTAAAGGGCCAAATACTAAATATTTAAGGCTTTGTGAGTCATAAGGTCTGCTGCAACTACTGAACTCTGCCATTGTGGTGCGAAAGCAGCTATGGACACTACGTAAAGGAAGGGACTCTGAAATGCGAATTTCATATCATTCACATAACTTACATGTGTCATGTCATATTTTTTTTCCTAATCACTTAAAATATAAACATTCTTAGCTGACAGGCTTACAAGGACAGGCAGCAGGCTGGCTTTGGCCAGCAGGCCTATATTTCCTGACCCCATTCTAAGATGTCATGAATCAAATTTATTATGCCATTGTCAGAGATACAGATGTTCCTTTTTTGTTTGGTGTTTACAAATGGCACAGACATCTGGCTGTTTTGAAGTGTGGAGAATCGTTAGCGTGGATGCTCAAAAATGAGACTTTAAGGACATAACCATTTTATTCTTAGTACAATCGCCAAATTCTTTTACAAGGATGTACAGTACAGTTCTCCTATATCATATGTTCCTACCAGCAGTGTATCTAAATATCTTTTACCAAACGCTCAGCAGCATTTAAAACAAAATGGTACAAAAGAAGACTTTATAGATGAAAATTAACTCACTGCTTTAACTTGTAATCGGAAATAGAAATCAATCACCTTTCACCATATCCAATATATAGCATCTTATCTCTTGTAAAAGTGTATAAATAACTTATCTTTTTGTCTACTTAGTTTTTATTAGTTTTTTCCTAGGAATTTTTGTATGAGTTCACCAGAAAACTGTTAAAGATAGTTACTCCTTGCTACATTTGTGACTTTGTCCAGTTGACTTATTTTTGCCAATTTTTACAAAAAGGGTCTTAAAAAATTCTTGAGGGAATAGTTTGAAACTCTTTTCCATGCCATTCTTACCAAAGTTTGCTATTTTTGTCTAGTTTTGTCTGATTTTTACACATTTTACTCTTCTCTACCAAAATGAATGCCAAGTTGGTATGGCACACTATCACACTTACCCCACTGCAGCTCTTTCTCATGCTCTCTATAGCTCATAGGGCCAATTTCCCCTCATTACTTCTCTTTTTATGTTTAGCTCCTCTTGAATATTCTTCCAAATAAACTTCAGAATTCTATAAAATCTTGTTCAATCTAAAAAAAAATTTTTTTTTTATTACTTGAATTAGTTAAAGATTGATAGTTGGCCAGGTATGGTGGCTCATACCTGTAATCCTAGGACTATGGGAGGCTGAGGCAGGAGGATCACTTGAGCTCAGGAGCTCCAGACTAGCCTGAGCAAGAGTGAGACCTTGTTTCTACCAAAAAGAGTAAAAAATTAGCCGGGTGTGGTGGCGCATGCCTGTAGTCCCAGCTACTCTGAGGCTGGGGCAGAAGGATCGCTTGAGCCCAGGAGTTGGAGGTTTCAGGGAGCTATGATGACACCACTGTACTCTACTTAGGGCAACAGAGCAAGACTCTGTGTCAAAAAAAAAAAAAAAATCAGCATCCAGCAGAATGAAATGTCTGTTCTTAAGTCTCATAACTCTCAGTAGAGTTCTATAGTTTGCTTTTCTCTAGGAAATAACTTGATGTGTCTTCAAAGTGGGGAGAGTCTGTTTGGAATCCAAGAACCTTTGCAAAACTACAGTTGCTTATATGCCACCAATTTAAGAGTCTAAGTAATTAATACCCCCTAGAGACTAAAGAAGTTTACCTCTCTCTGTCCTAGAGGAAGGTGGTAAAACCTGCCAAGTAAATTGAATAGTAGAGATATCGTAGCCACATATATACCCTACTTAAGGAAACAAATTTTTCAAGACCCTTGGAAGGATACTTTCATATATGTACTATGTATTGTTACAAATCAATCTTATTAAAAGTGTAAATTGCCAAGTATAGGCGAAGTTCCTATTATAGGTTTCTTTACATATCCTTAACTCAGATCAGCTTTCCATTTACCCCAAATTTCTTTAAATGCTTTCATGTACACATTTGCTAGAATTTTCAAATCACAAATGTAAAGGACTGTCACTAGCACGAACTACTGAAGACCACATAGTACACTGCCCTTGGTTTTTGCTAAACACACAGAATAGGCAAATTTAAATTTCTTCATTCTTGCAAGATGTGGATCATCACTTTTCTGGAGGAAGGGATGAAATATATTAACTGAAATCCAAATTCTGCTTATATTATTAAGTAAAAGTCATAACTTACCACTGAAATAAATAATTATAATCTGTTGGGGTTCTACCTGTTTATGTCATATTGTCTTAAACTACCTTGCCTAGACCTTATATGGTTTGTTGCTTTTGCCTCAACCTTAGAAGACAAATATTCCTTATTCCTTAATCTTAGGTACCTAGAGACTCTTTTCACCTGCACAGGGATTAATAACTCAAGGGCTCACACCTGGGGAAAGGGACCAAGACAGTCTTCTTTTAGCCTCGCCCCTAAATTGAAGCTGGAGACGCTTGAATTGTCCCATGGAGTCCAGAGGCTCACACGTGGTCTAGTGCCACCTGGCAAGACCAGGCATTCTGCAGAGATATTCTGAAAGCAAGGTCCCAACAA